TATCTCTATATACATTTCTATATTATCTCTATATATTTAATTAGTTAATACAATTAATAATGTTACCACGGTAATTGGTAGTGAAGAACGTATTATTAACGTATTATAAACGGGAAATTAACCATGTTAACGTTTAATGATCGATATCGAAATATATTTGAATGCAATATGCGATTTATAGCTCGACAAATTTATAGCGCATCACATTTTGTTCCTCTATCTGCATACACATGTTACATCGAGAAATGTATAATCCATGGATTTGTTTACGCAGAATTTACGACGGTTGGAAAAGAAAACGTGATTTTACTCTGCATGGCAAAATAAATCAGTGTATATTGTCATGTATACTTGGCAGCTACTGATTTCCGTACATTTCAATATTTTATTTACACAACGCGATATTGAGAAATTATTCTTTCTTATAAAGTAATAAACAATATAATGTCTATAATATTTCTTATATTAATAGTCTTATTTTTAATAAATTTATTTTGTATTATAAGACATTTTTAATTTGTGTTTTTATTTTATTATTATTTATATCTTAATTTGTATTTATTTTATTCATATATTACATCTCACTTGTATTCAAAATTTTTTATAATAATGTTAATAAATACATGAGATCTGATTGAATAATATAATAATCACTTAATTAAATTACTATAAGAGGATGAACGTCGAAGGACAAACCACTCTCAAAAATTAATATAATAACTCATTTGCTTGTAGTCCCAGATAGATTGATTGCAAATGGTATCATTTACAAAAATGTTAATAACAGATTCTTTTAATTAATATTTTTTTTATCAAGCTTTTATATCTTTTTATCTTTTTCTTATTAATGTTACAATTTTTGCATAATAATCTTAGTAAGACGTTTATCCTTATATTTAAATAAATCAACCTTATCTATTCGATCTCTGTTTCACAGGAAATATCTTCTCGAGATGCATTGATCTTCTCGTTAAGAACTTTTCTTATTTCTCGTTATCAGAAGTTTCGCAATTTTGCATAATTTTTTTTTCCTTGCGAGCAAGGGGATGGAAATATCCTGATATCCAAGTTCATTTAATGTTCGATCAAGTGTCGGCGAATTACTGTTCCAGCGCGGTCGCGAGCGTCGCGGTGCTGCGTTTAGGGTTTCCCGTGAAGAAAGAGTTAATCGCAGTAACGCACGACTGGCGTCGACTTTACGAGTTAAAGCGAGTCATAAAAAGTTCGTCGCCGTGGTTCCTGCACTCTTATCCTGAGTTAGCCAATACTTGGTAGTTCGCGTTCTGAATTCTTTATGATTTCGCGAGCCTTGCGGAAATGCCCGACGAATGAGAACGCGAAAACGCGTTTACGTTTGTCGTCAGAAGTATAATATTCACGACGCAGACGGCGCACCTTTTCTCGCGAATGGCCTTGCATAACTTCACTGAAAAGTTTACTGTTTTGTGGTACATGTAAATGTGTATACCATTACCAATTTCTTTATTTCGTAGGCTTCATTCAAATTAGGAATAATTAAACAAATGAATTAATTTTGTCGTCTAATTTTTATTATTTCAGTTTCCATGTCTTGTCATTCATTAAATATACTTAAACATTTATTTAAAAATTAATAGAACACATGTTACTTTATATACGACTATATTGATATGTTATTGTTTGTTATTGTAAGGCTTATTGCTTTTTTTTTAAAACGTTTGCTTTGTAATTTACACGATACAGCGATTAAACGAGAGTAAACAAGAGCAAGTTGACAATCGAATCAATGATATATACATATAATAAACTTAAAATGAATTGCGAATTCTTAGATTAGTTCTAAATTCGAGTGCGAAATAAAGCCATTCTTCGCGTATTATCTTTTTCTTGTTTTTCTTTTTCTTCGTAAGATTATGCGAGTATGAGTAATTTTCTAGAGTACCGAGCGAAAGGATTCGTTTATTCAGCCAGAAACAACGCGGAACGATGTTAATTCTCTGGTCCCTTGGACACTTAACACGCGCCCCGCGCTTTCAACGACCGGAACTTCACTAAGGCGTCTCTGAGAGCACGGCGCTCATTCGATAACTCGATAGCTCTAACGACGACGCTTCGGATAATCACGCTGACAGCGTTCGCTTCAATTGCGTTCGCTTCATTTGATTTGCCTCTTTGTCCGGCTTGCATCAAGCGCGAAGGGTGTCAAATTAAGGCGGCTATCGATTCTCTCAAATATTTCGGTTAAGTAAGGCTTTAGTCTCTTAGATAATGAGAGGTATCAGAAGAAAGAAGAAAGACTCTGTAGATGCTTTAAAAGCAAATAAAGATATAAGATTATGATAGAAAATGTGATTGTTTTCTTCTAAGAAAAAAAATTAATTGAAAAAAAATATTAATTACAATATGTGTATATAGTGTATATATATATATATATATATATATATATATATATATTATTATATATAAATTTTTTTATATATCCATTTTTATATTCCATTTAATGTCTATTATAAAGTTTTAGATTTCATTATAATGTGATTACAATGTATCAAAACTTCTTCATTTCGTTACAGATACCAAAGTTGTAATGTAATTGTAACATTTCCTGCCATCAATGTATTATATTGTTATTGAAAAGTCGTTTGGCCACTCAACCACTGAAATTGATCTGTTAGTTGTTGAAATGTTTGAAACTCGACGCTCAATAAACCTCAAGTAACTTAATAATATCGTAACTCAAAGCATTTAAACATCCTTTATCAAATCTTGTTTATATAATTATCATTTATAATTATCATTTAATTTAACAATAAAAATAAAAATAAAGATATTTTATATTTAAGTTTAATTAAAGAACAAATAAAGAAAAATTTAATATTTCGAGAAAGTAGTAATACACATATTTTACACATTTTTATACATATTTTACATATTTGCTAATATGCATTTAGAAGATAGAACAATGTTTAGTATCCTTTAGCATCAGAGAAATGCTAAGAAATACGGAGCAATGTGTTTTGCTACTGGCCCATACGAATACCAGTGATTGAATGATAGCGCGTGGAGTGCGTTCGTAAACACGTGACGCGCTATCATACTCGTAAACACCTGACGTATCAATCGCAGCGCGTAAACTCAAGACTATAACAACAATAGTCTGGCTACGATGAAATTCAACATATATTACGAATCAAATTTACATAATTTCCACGAAGCATTATGGCATTTTCGATAATGAAACATTAAATAATATAATCGTTATATTTTATCTTCTAAATCTCTATTATCATACATTTGCTCTTTCGAGTCGATTTAGAGTGCATTTATTTGGACTCTCATGCGCTGTAAGCATTGTTTTATTTTCCTTTGACGTATATGAATAATAAAAATAAAATAATGTTTATAACGCATGAGCGTCCAAAATAAACACACTCTTAATAGACTCGTTACAATTTATTTGAGATACATGTATAGATATATCTTGTATATTTTATCTGTTACAATAAACAATTGATATCATACAATAAACTAATTATACGTATTGCAAAATGCAAATTACATTTAAATCAGTGAGAATTTCA